GCAAGGCAAATACGTGTGCGGTGACAGCACCCGCGCCGATCTTCCTCTATTCTTACGCCAACCTCGCATCATTCCCCATTCATGAACAAACCCAGCATGTCCTAAGAGTGGCTTTATCTGCGACACGCACGTCCCCATCACCTTCGCCCCTCCAACGCAGCCCAACGACTTGAACGATAGACGACGACCGTAGCGACCGCTCCGACGAGTATCAATAAGACGGCCAAGTCGAGCCACCCGAAGCCTTCTCCCCGGCCAATCCCGTGTATATTGCTTGGACATCCAACCCCCTAGTGCCATGAATGGCATCGTGGGGACAACGCCTCCCGGCGCTATGTACGTCCGCGCACTGTACGACTATGAAGCCGATGACAGAACCAGCCTGAGCTTCCATGAAGGAGATGTGATCCAAGTCATCACGCAGCTCGAGAGTGGATGGTGGGACGGTGTTATAAATGGCGTTCGTGGCTGGTTTCCAAGTAACTACTGTCAAATCATCACGAGCCCTGATGATCTCCCCGACCTGACTCAGAATGGCCGCCTCGAACATCTGGAGGAGGAGGCCGAAACCGATATGTACGATGATGCCCTAGACCAGGACGATGCGGTGGAGCGAGATGGTCCCAACGGCGTACCTCTAGATAGCCTCGACACTGGCGGTCGATCCAGGGCGGACTTCTGGATCCCCCAGGCCACACCGGACGGCCGGCTCTTTTACTACAATATGATGACGGGCGATCGCAGCATGGAACTTCCTCTTGAGTCTCCAGTATCGAATAATGAGACAGGGCCTCGGGACCGTATGAATGTCACCGTACCTGAAAGGACTCGGCCGCCTCCGGAGATGATGGCTAGGGGTTTAACTCAGGACGAGGACTACGACTCAGCTGCCTCAGCATCAGAGATCGAGGGCGGCGTTAATGGGATTAGATCCCGCCTTCAAAGAGTATGTATTAAACGTGCCTATATTCATGTGCTTCTTTGCTGAAACAGTAACAGGGACAGAGGCGCACCTCACTAAGTGGCGCACTATCCCCCTCTGCGTCGATGGATTCCATCAACGGTACCTCCGCAGATGGTAATAGGCGAAACGATGCATTGCAGGTGGGACAGACACCCAACATTGCATCCGCAACTTCCTTCACAAGCACAACTTACAACTTGCCAACAACAACTGCTGTTCCTAAATCATTTTTCGATGATGGATCAACGCCACCCCTGACGTGGAGTCTCCTTGTCGCCAACATGAGGGCTTCAATAGATCGGTATCGTGAGGCAATCACCAATAACGAACGTTCTAACTACGTCGCAAGAGCAGAAGACATATCGGACCATCTGAGGCTTCTCTTAGCTGCAGGCTCAGGCACCACCGACAATCATTCTGGACAGCCATCCATCATATCCACGAACAAGGCCCTTTATCCTCATTTCAGGGACATGATGTCTAAATTCTCCAAGCTTGTTATCTCTTCTCACATTGCCGCCGCCGATTGGCCCAACGCAGAGTCTATACAAAAGTGCTTGCAGGAAGCCGAGGGTGTTCTTCTAGGCGTGTATAGTTACGTTGAGGTTGCAAAGCAACAGCGAGGCGAGGAAATACCACGTCTATTCCCTGGCTTTGTCATTGGCAGTACTGCCGGAGGTAGTTGGCAAAACAACGGACTTGGGCCTCAGGATCCCATTACCGCCAACTTCTTAGAAGACGACGACGGTTTTACCGAACCAACGGCTATATTGGACAGCAAACTTCTCGAAAGACTGGATGAGCAGAAGCGGATGCTGGTTTCTAGCATTCGTGAACTGGACAAGAACCTCGTTATCCCCGAGAAAATAGTGAGCGCCACGCGTCATGAATTTATTGGGAATAGTGTCTGCTTCTGCGGTGGCAAAGTGGTGGAGGCTTTCAAACCTTGGATCGCTATTATTGAAACTATAGACCTTTCATCCCTGGGTAATAGTTTTCAGACCCCTCAGCTGGCTGATTTTAGCACCAATAAACAAAGTCTATACGATAATATCGCAGACCTTGTTCTCAGCTGCCAGGCCGTTGCCGGGCCGTTGGCTGACGAGTGGTCTGAGATTAAGGGGGAATCTTTAGAGAAGAGACTGGAATATGTTCGGCAGTGTGCTCGGGCCCTGGAAACCAACTCGTCTCATGTGGGCTTCTCTTTACAGTTACTCTCGGAGCAAGTACAGAATGATTTGCAAAACAAGCATGACCCTCGGCCATGGGAAGATCATCCTCGCGCCCACTTACAAAGAGGCGATACGATGCCACCCGAGCGATCGCACCAACGATCAAACTCGCGCTCGGCAGGCCCACGACCTCCCCTCATGACAGCTCAGTCCTTTACAGAGGGTGATGCCCCTCCAGGAAACTGGAGGAAAGGGGACTATTCCAAGGTCGCGAAGATTCTCGGTGAAGATCCATCACCACAGGCTGGCATGCCTTCAGCTGAAGAAATTCCGGATTTCCTACGCTTGGATTACGAACACGAGGTTTCATGGGAAACCAAAACATCTTCTGCCACAGTTAAAGGAGGTTCCCTGCTTGGTCTTGTGGAGCAGCTCACTCGTCACGACAAGCTGGATTCGAGCTTCAACAACACTTTCCTTCTGACGTATCGCTCTTTTACGACTGCTCGCGAGCTATTTGAATTACTAGTGAAACGTTTTGGAATCCAACCTCCGCCCGGCTTAAGCCAATCTGACTTCGATTTGTGGAGAGATCGAAAACAAAAACTAATTCGCTTTCGCGTTGTAAATATTCTTAAGAGTTGGTTTGACAATTTCTGGATGGAAGAGTTCAACGAGGAGTCGAAGCAGCTTATCCGAGACGTAAGCAGTTTCGCCAGCGACACTGTAAAGTCGACCGAAACCCCAGGATCAGCACCACTTATTGCAGTCCTTACTCAACGACTCAGCGGCAAGGAGCCAATCCAACGGAAGGGTATGATCCAGACGTTGAATCAGAACACGCCGACACCTATTATACCCAAAAACATGAAAAAACTCAAGTTCCTCGATATTGATGTAACTGAGTTTGCTCGTCAGTTGACCATCATTGAATCTAGGCTGTATGGCAAGATCAAGCCAGCAGAATGCCTCAACAAAACGTGGCAGAAGAAGGTTCCAGAGGGTGAACCTGACCTTGCCCCTAACGTCAAGGCACTCATTCTACACTCGAATCAAATGACGAATTGGGTAGCAGAAATGATATTGGCTCAAATGGACGCCCGAAAGCGTGTGGTTGTGATCAAGCACTTTGTCTCTGTTGCTGACGTGAGTTTCATATTTGCAAAACAAGTGCTCGAGAAATTCGCTAATACAATGTTTAGAAATGTCGGGGTATGAATAACTTCTCAACCCTCACATCAATTATCTCTGCGCTGGGTACAGCGCCAATTTCACGCCTTAAAAGAACCTGGGATCAAGTTCCCCAGCGTACACAGGCTATCTTGGAAAACATGCGCAGAGTGATGGGCAGTACGAAGAATTTTGGAGAGTACAGAGAACAGCTCCACAATGCTAATCCTCCATGCGTGCCTTTTTTCGGTAGGAATCCGGCCCTCAGCACTGATATTTTGCTTCTTGCTAATCAATCCTAGGTGTCTATTTGACGGATCTTACCTTCATTGAGGACGGTATTCCTTCAATCATCAAAAAGACGAACCTAATCAACTTTGCCAAGCGGGCCAAGACAGCAGAAGTGATTCGCGACATCCAACAATACCAGAATGTGGGCTACTCACTCCAGCCGGTTCCCGAGCTACAGGACTATATTTTAAGCAACATGCAAGCTGCTGGAGATGTGCATGAGATGTACGATAAGAGTTTGCAGGTGGAACCACGTGAACGAGAGGACGAGAAGATCGTCAGGTATGAAACTATTCCCCCACTCCATTCCGTTGCATTTCCTTTAGGTCCCTTAAGCTGCCTATGGTTTTACCATAACTTCTTACGATTACAAAAGCAAATACTAATCATATTCTTTGTTGTACAGAGTCTTGGCTGAATCAGGGTTCCTGTAAGCTGCCATCAACAACTGCCAGCAACGTAAACATCTTCTTGATACGCAATTACACGATGTGTATTGAGTATTCCTCCAATAGCTCTCGGTATTCGAAGCTGTGTTGTATTATTCACCCGAAATCGTTGTTGGTGGTGGGCACCCATGGAACGAAAGCTCTTCCTAGGCCTACGTTTGGATTTCCAGAGCAACACAATTACCTTTGTGTACTGGCACGCAATATTTTTATGCAAATTCGCATCTACGGAGTTCGTGTGTCGGAATATCGACAACATCGTCATCAATTTCTTTTTGGATATTGTTCTTCTTTCCACGGGAAGAGAAGATTCAGCGGATGAGTCTGGGCTCATTCAACGAGGGACTATATATACCTTATATTAACAATAAAGCAAAGGAAGCCTAAACCGAGAATTGGATAGTGGTATAAAACATTGGGCACTACTCATGCATACCCTTGAAAGTACTCAACACCCTCTGCCTCGAGCTCTACTCAACAGGAAGTCTTAGAGGAGTTGGATCTTCCTATAAAGCTTCACGAATGGTACAATTCGAGGCGGGTATATGCAGGTACGTTCAATTATCTAGGCTCTAGCGGGATCCCACGATAGTACTATGATGATTCGCCAAAGGGAGTTTTGGAGCTTTTTGTATGTAGGCCACATTCTAGGGGCTTTAGTAATGATCAATGAGTAAACGGACGTATGTCACGGATTTATGGCAATTCGAGGCTTGTATTTTGCTACTCTACGGTGTTCATTGCATGGAAACATCAACTACAATACCAGTTTTAGTCAATCAGGTCGAGTTTATTCATCCTGCTGCCTGGAGACGGGAAAGAGTTCGTCTCTGGTCAAACCATACCGATTACAGCTCCATAGCCCTTATTACAAAATGACCCTATTGTTACACTCTGCTCTTCTGGCGCTAAACTACAAATTGATCAAATCATCATTCTCAACAGCCAATATCCTCAGTGCTTGTGAAGTTTCGCCTTGATTCGCTCGCCTAGGCTGGGTTTACTCTTCGATGAATGCTTCTCGGGGTGGTCAGAGTCGTTGTGGGTAGCGCCATCCTTTCCGAGCAAGCCTGTCAAAAACATTCAGTATTCCAGTCTTGGTCCAGGTGAATCAGTAGACAGGTGGAGCATCCCCGGCAGACTTTGCGCGAAGATTGATGTTTTTACTTACGGTCAGCCTCCCTGCCAGCACCAGGCTTGGTGGCATCAAAATCCCCCCCTTCGGCGGCGAAGCCGGTACTCTTAACGTATTCTTCCTGAGCAGGAGCTTTACCTCCAGCATCTGACGTCTCGTCGGGCGTTTCCTTGGCTGTTTCGTCGGCCTTGTCCTTGGATTTCTTATCTTCATCAATACGACCAGCATCACCATGATGTTCTTTAGCCAGTACAGGTAGTGGTCTAGGGCCCGGACCTTTTGGGGATGGGGGGTCAGACTCGTCGAGGTCTTTCTCGGATTCGAGGGTCTTCTCAGTTGTCTCCTTTCCCTTTGAGGTCTTTTCGATTTGCTGTTTTCCTTCGGCAGTCTTTACATCTGCCTCCTGCCGCTCGAGGGAACCGCCACTCGAAGGGTGAGTTGTGACCGCAGCGGTTTCACTTGGCTTAAGATCGCTCTCATCGGGCTTACGATCACTCTCGCCGAGCTCCAGACGCTTTTCCACCTGTTGCTGGCCAGGGGTCTCTGATCAAGCAAATATATGAGCGAGTGAAGCTTCAGGGCTGGGGTTTGTATGCCTACCTAGGTTGCCGGCGTCATAGGGTTCGCCTTGAGTAACATCTCCCTTTGCGCCGGAAATGGGTTCCTTGCTAGTGTTGCCCTCACCCAGGATAGCCTTTGCAGCAGCCGAAGCTACGTTGTTGATGGTCTCCATGATGGTTGTGTTATAAGAACGATGTAAGGGTTGGGTTGTGTAGATGCTCGTTGTACGTAGGCCGAGATGAAGAGATTCAAAATCGGTTGGGGCAGTCACAAGAAGAATAATGGTCGTAAGCGCGTGTCTGCTTAGCTTAAATGATCACGAAGTGAAACGGTCTTTATAAATCTTATTTGGATTGAGGGCACGCAGGAACTGCGAGTGGCGATGACCTAGACAAAGCATGACGGGCTTAGGGTGTTGACGTCGTTGGTGCATGGTATGTGTAATGGCTGGCACACGAGAGCGACGTGCACTTAACGGGATGGGTGGAGCTACGGCCCTACGAGTAACCAACTTCTTGGACATCAAATTGTCTTTTGGAGCGTATGGTGGCTCCCGTTATGGCAAAGAGCAGAACTTTGAGCATCGCAAGTTGCCGAAATGCTCGGGCTAGGGCGGGATGGGGCACGATGCTAGACCTGTTGGGCTGAAGGGATGACGTCCATGAACAAGATCGCTCCCCGATATAGCTTATCTACCGCAGTGGACAATTAAAGGATTCTTGCCTGCCTTGGTAGAGACAAGGGCATACGTATGTCTTGTGCAAGCTTGGTGGACGCAGAGACGGCAGTTTATCCAGGGCGGCCGTCCGGGATCGTCGCAGGCTTGACGTCATCCAGACTAGCCCATCGTCACAAAAATCCCATTCGCGATTTGTGATGATGCGTAACCTCCTATTATTCCACATGTGACCTGGAAGATGTACGCCCTCGCTTGCAATGGATCGAGACATCGTGGTAAAGGCCAAGTTGACTTGATGGCGCACTTGTTTTGAGTTGAGCAAGGTCGAGAGTAAGACGTAGTTGGTGATGGAAGAAGGAATATGGAGAGAGCTTAACGCCAATGGCTAAGCTACGTCGTTTTTTAGTGACATGATTTTTTTTTTAACAATATATACCTTTGGCATAATTATTCATTGAAATAGTTTATATATATCCCAAGCAAAATAGCAACGGACTGACAATTGCATAACAACTTATGGTTGTAATGGTTAGCGGAGTGGAATAGGGTAGTTGGAATAGAGGGGGCATGAAGTGGGTGACGCATATGGAGCCTTGGTTCTAACTTCTAAGTCATTGGCGGCGCACCGGTCTGACTTACTGTAAAGTAACGAGTCACATATTGCGCTCTGTCTGGTTCATTTATCTTCACATGTGTTGATCTGTGTCGGAATATTATGCAGATGAGAGGGACTCTTAGCGTGTCATGCACCATGGATGTTACTAGATTGGCCCGCCTCGTGTTGCAGAGGTTTCAATTCGAGCTTGGGGAAAGAGTGGCGCTCACTCTAGCAAGGAAGAGCCTGGCCATAGCGACAACAATTTCAAGCGAGTGGGTATCACCAAATATCTGGACTCGTATGGCCGCCGCTAGTGATTGACCAACACCAATAGCTGGTTCCAGGCAATTTCAGTCCAATGCCGTGCTACCTGCGTGTATGAGGTAGCCGCAAGCCTCCAGCAAGCTATCTATTCAGTTCTGGGATAAAAGCCAGCACTGGGTCCAGGAGCATTACAATAGCCCTTACCTAACCTATACCCGGGCATGCAAGGTACCGACGGGTTGACGGGTAGTAATGGATCTAAGAATAGGGGCTGTCTGCCTCTGTTGAGCTGTTGTCCGCTCATTGCACGCTCAACAGAAGCCTGACGCGAATCACAAATCCCTCCCGCCAGCCCCCAAGCGAGCACCTGTCAGCTCGGCCTGCAGCGACTGGAGAAGGTCGGATGGATTAATGACTGTGTATACTTTGATTTCCCGTATGATGTACCTCGGCTGCGAATTTAATTATTGTCCTGCAGAGCGATGGCTTGGCAAGGATTCGTATTCTAATTATCGCGACTCTGGGAGCAAGACCGCCTTAAAAACGGATGGTTTGGACGGATGCCAGGGGAGAGATATATTTATTCATTATACCTAGTACCTAGGCAGGCTCTATATAGACTGCTGGGTACCCAGAGGTACATGTGTACCACCGCCAGACGGATAAGCTCCCAAGTACTTGCAGTGTACCATGCACCTGGTCTGCCTGGGTGCTGCCACTGGACCACTAAGCTCGCGCCAGCTACGCGGACTGACACCTTGCGTCCACTCCTCTACCCCAATTCATCATCGCAGGCTTCCCCCGAAGTCGTCGAACTAGACAAAGCCGATCCAGGCTTGCCCGTCCGACAACAGCAGCACCATCATGAACGGGGACCTGAGCCTCTCTCAGGCCCTGGGTGGGCTTCGTATAGCCAACCCTGATGATGTCGCCGCACAGCCATCACCTCTCCCCTCGGATACGAGTCAGCCCACAGCCACAGCCCCTGCAACTTCATCAGGACCTCCTCCTACGACCGAGCCAGTGGCCTTGACGACGACGACGACGACGACAGCGGCAACAAGCACGGTTACCACGGATCCCAATCAAAGGGACTCCGCAGCAAGGCCAGCGCAACATGAGGAGCCCGGCTTCCTCGCCGTATCTTCTGAACCTCCTTCACTTCCCGATTTCTCCAGGTCATCAACCTATGATCTGTCACCGATGATTGAATCCACGACAACAGTCTCAACAGCCGCATCTACAGCTCCGTCGTACCCTTCTCGCGAACCCAGTCAAAGAGACACCCAGTGGTCTTATAACTCCTCAAGACAAGCTCCCATATCATCAAGCAATCCGCCGGTAAGGAGAAGTTCACGGGCAATGGGCGGTGGTCACACTCAAAGCCAAACGGGCGCCCACGCTCCCTATGCGGGAGATGCACCGATCCCCTCGACTAGTGAAGAGTGGCAGGAACGGGGTGCTGCCGTGGGAGTACGCCGAGAAACGGACGCATCTGGCCGCACTGTCGTCAGACAAGTAAAGAAAGGTGTTCGCGATTTTTCCTTCGGCCGTATTCTGGGCGAGGGATCCTATAGTTCAGTCTACCTAGCCACGGATAGGCAGACACTTAAGGAATACGCTATCAAAGTACTTGAGAAACGACACATTATCAAGGAGAAAAAGATCAAGTATGTCAATATCGAAAAGGATACACTCAATCGTCTGACGGAGCACCCCGGCATTGTTCGACTTTATTATACGTTCCAAGACCAGAACTCTCTATACTATGTTTTGGATCTTTGCAGCGGGGGCGAGCTTCTCGGTGTTTTGAAAAAGACGGGCACCTTTGATGTCGAGTGCACACGGTTCTATAGCGCCCAGATCCTTGATGCTATAAGCTACATGCACTCCCGCGGTGTCATTCATCGAGATCTCAAGCCAGAGAACGTGCTTCTGGACGACCAGATGAATATTAAAATTACCGATTTCGGGACCGCAAAGCTGCTTCAGGATCCCCGGGAAGTTCGAAGGCAGATGGAGAGGGGTATTTTAGATCCCAGCAGGGGAGATGAGGATGATGATGGACGCGCAGCGTCTTTCGTCGGAACAGCCGAGTATGTGAGCCCGGAACTTCTCACTCATAAGAATGCCTGCAAGGCTAGTGACTTGTGGGCTTTTGGGTGCATAGTATATCAACTCCTTGTTGGAAGGCCACCTTTCAAAGCGGGGAGTGAGTACTTGACGTTTCAGAAGATTGTCCATCTCGAGTATGAGTTCCCTCAGGGATTTCCATTAGCGGCTCGTGATCTGGTCGAGCGATTACTGGTGTTGGACCCTTCCAGAAGATTGACCATTGAGCATATAAAAAATCACGAATTCTTCGACGGCCAAGCTTTCGGCAAAACATTATGGCGAATGAAAGCTCCCAGGCTCCGCCCATACGTTCCGAATGTACCAGAGCCCACCGTGATTCAGTTGAACGGAGGTCATTCTGCGGCCCCTCCACCCATCTCGCAGTCACGAAGCGCTCCCTCAAATCAGGCAAACCTGGCTAACGGAGCTGGCCGTCCTGCACGCTTGATTACAGAATTACCTCCCCCCACCCAGCTTGATATTGAGTGGTCTCCAGTCCTAACAAAGAACAACGAACGTATTTTGCGTTTGGGTGACTTACTAGTTGTCTCGACTCCATTACCAAATGGCTCGAACGGCAAGGGCTCCGAAGACGGGCACAAAAAGCTTTCTCGATTTTTCGGAGGCAGCACAACTAAGAAGCGGCAACGATTGGTCATGATCACCTCCAGTGGTAGAGTGTTACTGGCACCTGCCGGAGGCGAGGAGAAGCGTGCGAAACAAGAGCTATCATTATTGGCCTCGGATTGTACGTGGAGGACCCAAACAGACGCCAAGGGGCAGCTTGTCTGGTGCGTTGATACGGTATGTTTTGCAATGGAATAATTCCCCGGATTCGAATGACTTAGACTAACACTGAAACCAGGGTGGCTATCACTACACCTTTGAGGACACGAAAAATTCTTCTCAAATAGATACATCTCGCCCCTCGGCTGAAGAATGGGTTGAATGCCTAGAGCGAGCAAAAGATCTGGCTGTTGCTCAAAGTATGAATTCTTATGGCGAGGGTGGCTTGGCAGATCTATCTTCTACTATGTCGAGTCCCTCAAGTACAATCGGCGGAGGCCGAGCCAACAATTCACATGAAATGATTGGGGCGACGGATCGATCTTCACGCAGCCATATGTCTAAGGGCCAAGGGAACATGGAGGAAGTGAGCCCGGCACCCAAAAGAAACCGTTTCAGCAAGAGGCAGTCCCGCAACGGACTCGATTCTGCCTTCTGAGTCTACCGGAGGCATATCAATTCTACTACTGGCAAAATTGCTTCTAATCCGAGAAGTGCTAAAGGCATCACCTCCACCCTAGATTTTATATTTCAAAGTTCGGTGCGTTATTTTGCATTAGTAGCGAGGCGCACTTCTGAGGAGTTTCAATTCTCTCATGGGACGCGGGGCCCGTTCCCTACTTGCATTTTCCCTTTATTATTCTGCATGTTACAAGGATGGCATGTCTACAAAAATACATTTCCTTTCTTAAAGGGGTGTGAAGGCGATGGGTTGGGGGTTTGGGTGAAGAAAAAGGGCTTATCACCGCTTCAGTCGACGGTCGGAGCGAGCGCTACTCTCTTTTTATTTGGGTTTATCTCCTCGTTGCTCATCGTGCTGTTTTGAGTTAGGAATGAACTGTAGCACTCACCGAATGTATAAATCAGAGTACAATATACGCGTGGATGGCTACAATTGGAACGAGCTGGCCGTTGGGTTTACAGGCATGAAGCTGTAGGATTATGCGGGTATGGATATATCCAAATGTAATAGCTGAGTTGGGTCACCCTCCACAATGGAGACAAAGAAAATAAGAGAATGGAAGCATGAGACCAACAGACAGAAACACTCCATGCATATTGAAGGCTTAGAAGATACCTTCTCATGAGCGTGTGACGCCTGTGGTTGGAGCTTAGAGGCAGTCACGTGACTGTAAGAATTGGGCGCGGAAAGTCGCGACACGGTCAAGGGTCGTTTCTGAGCTTCAGGACTCCCGCGTGAAAGCCGAGCCAGCCAAACCGCACACATTACCGATCCATTGCTGTGCCATCGCCATCAAAATGCAGCAACAATACCGCGCCTACGCGCAACAGCAGGTTCCCCAGCGCTCGCCTCATGCACCAAACCAGCGCCGCGGTGGCATTGGTACGTCTAGTTCCCCGATGCCTTTCTCCGACGCACCGATTCTCGTCCATCCCGAAGCGGCGCACTTCTTGGTTGATCGATACTAACTTGTATATTCAGGCCCAATGATGTCCTCAGGACCTCACCCGCAAGTTCCCCTCACCCAGGCGCAGATCGCACACCAGCAACAGGCGCAGGCGCAGGCCAGCGAGCTCGCGAAACGTCGAAGTCGAAAGCCTACGGATAAAAATCTTCCAGATGGAGTTGAGGATAGCATCGTGAACCCCGAGGCAGTCCAAAGATACAAGGATCTCAGAGATGTTGAGCGACGCCTGGATGCCACCCTGACACGCAAGCGGCTCGACGTCGTCGATAGCGTCAACCACAGCTCAAAAGTTCGACTTTGAACCCCCCGATACTCTGTGACTCTCTGCTAACCCTACTATTTAGATTTATCAGACGTTACGAATCTGGGTCAGCAACACCGTTGAAGATCAGGTGTGGCAAAGCAATGGACTCAATGTCGACGCATTTGATTTCACCCCCAACATGGAAGCGTCATTCCGCGTCAAAATCAGAGCTGCGCTGCTCGATAACCAAGAGTACGAAGAGAAAGGTGACGACAAGGTTGAAGAGAAGGTTGAAAAGACCGAGGGCGAAGGAGCTACCACGACCGACTCGAAGACCGACGCACCTAAAGATGCTCCCTATCGATTCTCGCACTTTTTCAAATCGATCACTGTTGACTTTGACTCGTCGCGATTCCGCAATGGCGCCGAGCAGATTGTTGAATGGAAGAAGCCCGAAACTGGAGCCAGGAACCAGGTTCCAGTTGGAACATCTTCCACCCCGGAATTCGACGAATTTGCCTTCAAGAGAAATGGAGACGAGAATATGAATATTACGATCAAGCTCTACCGCCACGAGGTACCTGAGCGTTACCAGCTTAGCCCTGAGCTTGCTGATGTGGTGGACATGACAGAGGCAACTCAGCAGGAGGCAGTCATGGGCCTATGGGAATACATCAGAATGTCCGGTCTGCAGGAAGATGAAGAGAAGAGGAACTTCCGCTGCGACGATTTATTGAAGAAGGTATGTTGGTTCGAACCAAGTTTGTATGACATTCCCGGCCCACTAACTTTTGGTTAGGTTGTAAAGCGAGGAGATGTTGGGTATATTCCTTTGTTGAACGAATATGTCACACAACATCTTAGCCCTCTTCCTCCTGTTTCCCTTCAGTATACGATCCGAGTTGATGAGGAGTTCCACAAAAACCCTCAGCCCACAATTTATGATGTCCAAGTTCTGGTCGACAACCCGTTGAGAGCAACCCTGCAACCCTGGCTAAGCAACCCCCAGTTTGCTAGCATGCTCAAGGAAACGACTGCCTTGGATGATCAGCTAGCCAAGATTGTGCAAGCGGTTTCGGTTTCGAAAGCCAAGCACACATTCTTCACATCACTCAGCAAGGACCCAGCCAATTTTGTTAGGAATTGGCTCAGTTCCCAAAAGCGCGACCTTGACATTGTCTTGGGCGAGTCGACAAGAAGCGGTGTCGACAGTGTTAATGGAGATGAATGGAGACGAGGCGGAAGTGATAGCATTTGGGCCACTCAAAATGCCAAGGAGAGCGTCAACGTGATGTTGTCAGCTCAACGCTGATTTTCGCTGCATACTTTAGACAATCAAACACTAGATGCTTAGAAACCTCGAGTTCGAGGGTTTGTGGGAACTCAGCTTCTCTCTGGGGCGTCTCGGCTACGTATGGGGCGTTGGTAATTGGAATTAAGCTGGTCTGTACGTTATACCACCAAGGGACTGCAAATTATTGTTTATGGAATCTCGAATAATGGGGACATAATGCATATATGTGATGGCACAAGATTAGTCCAGCCTTGTTAAGTAGCTGCGCGTATGAAAGTGATTTTGAGATTGAGTGTGATTGTACGCCATGCTTTCTATCTGTGTAGCTTCGCCCAATAACCCCCCGGACGCCCCGACTTAATTCACCCAAATGAATAATGACAATGAAGAAAAGAATGTGACGCTAGCCACAATGATGCAGACATGAAATGTTGATGAAGTACCGGAAGAGACACATGAGGCTGTGCGTTTATGTCGCCGCTGATGTTGATATTGCCGTGAAGTAGGAGGAGTGGACTTATCTTTGTGGAGGAACAGGGGTGGCAGGCATATTGCGAATTTGCTTTATCAGGAACTCCCTCTCATCGATGAACTGCTCATCGTCGGTCCGATCCTCAAGAAAATGCGACAAGAAATTCAGGAGCTTGTCTCGGTTCATGAGAAGGATTTTCTGGACGGCAATGGACTTGTGTGGGTTGGCCACAAATACTTTGAAGACGTGGAATCCCTCATACTGCACCATCTTCCTATCATCGCGCAGCAGGTTCATGCAAATCTTTAGATGCTCACCCCGGTCTACATAGGCTGTCATGACGCTGTAGTTTGATCGGTCAAGGAGAATCTCCCCAAGAAGCTTGATCGACTGTCTCTTGGTGACATAACTGTTTGATTGGACCAGGATATTGTTGTACTTTTCGAAAAAGAGGTCGAAATTTACGGACAAATATCTGGGTACTAGCTCCTTGTGTCGTGTTAAAAGCTCCTGCGTGTACATGGTTAGCCAAATCAGATCTCCGTTTGCGTTTGTTCCCAACTCACTCTGAAGGTGGTGAATGCGTCTGCGGCAACTTCGAACGAGCTCTTGTCGACCCAGTCGAAAAATCTCCAGAACACACCTCTCCCACTCTGTGGTCGGTCTCGATCGATAGCATTGAGTCCCTTGGAAGAAGATCCGGGTGCGTCACCGTCGTCGTACAGAATTATGGCAGCAGCAGCCTCGTTCTTAAGCAACTCCCGCAACACGGACCCAGCTGGGGTGGCACTTTCTTTGTGATCGTACGCTCGGCATAATTCGACGAGTACCTGCGGGCGATTGCAGACAACGTAGGATAGAGCGATGGGATCGCTCTTTGGCGCAGCGGCAGCTGGACGGAATCGGAAAACGTAGGAGAAGATAACCTGGGTATCTTTACGAGCCTCGAAGGGTAGTCGGTAGAGATTGACGGCTAACAAGTGCAGCAGGTCCTCGTCGATGAGACCAGTAACTAGCTGGTAGGTTTGTTCGGGCGAGCTGTCGGCCTCTGTATTGAATATGTCAGTCCATGTAGGCTACATGAGGAGCGTGACTCAGGAAGGAGCTTGAGTTCTCGTACCTTGGGTTCCTTGTAGAACAAGTTTCATCTGACTGAGAACACGTGCGAGTTCCTCGGCCTAATGTGGACGATGCATGTGGTTAGGAACCGTTTGTTCACGAAGGCACACCCAGAGTTTGCCTGGACCCGGGGGAATGGAAACCGTACCTTCGCCGCACCATTGGGACCGTCAAGCCTGGAGACATGTTCACGAGCTTGTCGTGGCAGATCAGCCGTAGGTCGTGACTTTGCCCTGCCAAACTGGAAGAATGACATCGTATGGGGTGACGGCGCAACTTAGAGTCGGGAGGATGAGTGAGAAAGAAGGGCAGACTCGGGTTGACGGCATAAAATACGTGCTTGCTTGTTTGATTGATTTCGACCGGGTATCTTGCTACTGAGAATAGCTATGGAGAATGCAGAGGGCGCGAGAAAGGAGGCATTCTGTATTATCACTGCAGTTGTATTGAAGTCCTCCTATCAGACTATCGACCTAAGGTAGCATGTTTGTTTCGTTGCCAGGGCGTTTCATTACGGCTGTTGGGTCAGATGCAACCGATTTGGCGGGGAACCAAAGTACTACATACTTCGTGTAGAGGTATAGGAAATTGCCCGGTACCTGATCACACCACTGTTGCTGCGGACTAAGAACGGGCTGGAAGGGACTTTGCTGTATTGAGATAAGACAGGACGGCGGAAACAATTACGGGAAGGTAGCGAGTACTTTGCACCCCACTTTTGGGCACCTGGGAGCTTCTCGAGCCGGTACGGAGGTACCTGACCCTGTTTGGAGTCCCTGGACCCCACCATGCTGATTGAATTTGAGTCACCCCTCCAGAAAAACTACCCCTCCATCTCGAGCATTTCCAACGTTTGAGTCACCCAAGCATAGACACGACG